GCCATAGCCCTCCTCAAACACTGGCCGGTGGCCTTGCCCTCCCACACTGCCTCCCCACCGCAAGGCGGACAGAGGACCCAGCCAGAGCCAGCACCAGCCCGGCCCCCCGGCAGAGGCAAGGCTCTGCCCCTCCCCGGGGGTACAGCAGGCAGCTCCCCAGGCCAGTGCCCGGCCAGTGAGCCAGTATCACCTCCTTCTTTCCCAAGTAGGCCTCTTAAGAACTCCAAGAGAGCCGCTGTCTGCCAGCCCAGAGTCCCTGCCCCCATGTGGGCGGGGCCACCCCAGCTCCGCCCCCCAGTCCAGCCTGGGCAGCTTCCCAGTGGGCTGCTCCTCCAGCTGGCTGCTGACCCAACCCGGCTGAGTCCCTGAGCCCAGCACCCAGAGCAAGCTGGTGGGCTCTGTTTACTAACTCTATCATGGGGGTTCTGGATGGCCCCTGGGGCCCAGCACCCTGCCTGCCTGTGCCTGCCCAGCTCTCCAGGCTCTGAACCGCTCTGCGTGAGCCCCTGCGCCTCCAGCTGGCTCACCTGAGACCACACAGAGGACCTGGCGATGAGCCTAAGGAAGGGAGCCAGGGCTCCTGTCTGTCAGTCACCTGGCTGGAGTTCCCGCCTCCAGTACCGCGCTGGGAGCGGCAGAGCCCAGAGACGCCGCCCGCCACAGGCCTGCCAATGAGCCAATGAGGAAGTCAAGATGGCTGCTTGGGAGGCCAGACCCAGTCAGGCGCCGCCCCCTCCAGGCAGGATTGGGTGCTCTGGGGAAGTCAGGTCCAAGTCAGTACAGGTGCCACTGGTGTGGCAAGAATCTGGAGGTGCTGGCCTCAGACGGGACCCCCGCCCCCTCCCCGTCCCCCTCTGCCCGTGGAGTCAGAGGAGTGGGGGTTTTGCTGTCCACTAATCCTGCAGCAGTGTCCAGCTGACCCTGGAGGGCCCACAGTGCCCTCACTGCTGGAGTGAATCAAATCACGGCGCGCTCATCTACACCAACACTGGCCGGCTGTCCTGCTGCCGTCCTGTCTGTCCTACACATCGACTGAGCACAAAGCACTGAGCCACCTGAGTCCCTGCCCTCGAGAGGCCTGGGGCAGGACACAAAGCCAGAGGACCCCCGAGGCTAGCTGCACGGTGGACCACTTGGAGCTAGGGGCACAGGGCGCCCCAGCGGAGGCTGACACAGGGCGCCCCAGTGGAGGCTGGCATAGGGCGCCCCAGTGGAGGCTGACACAGGGCGCCCCAGCGGAGGCTGACACAGGGCGCCCCAGCGGAGGCTGACACAGGGCGCCCCAGTGGAGGCTGACACAGGGCGCCGCAGCGGAGGCTGACACAGGGCGCCCCAGTGGAGGCTGACACAGGACGCCGCAGCGGAGGCTGACACAGGGCAGCCCCAGTGGAGGCTGACACAGGAGCACTCCAGCGGAGGCTGACACAGGAGCACCCCAGCGGAGGCTGACACACAGAGTGCCCCAGCGGAGGCTGACACACAGAGTGCCCCAGCGGAGGCTGACACAGGAGCACCCCCCTCAGTGGAGGCTGACACAGGGCGCCCCAGCGGAGGCTGACACAGGAGCACCCCAGCGGAGGCTGACACAGGGCGCCCCAGCGGAGGCTGACACACAGGGCGCCCCAGCGGAGGCTGACACAGGGCGCCCCAGCGGAGGCTGACACAGGGCGCCCCAGTGGAGGCTGACACAGGGCGCCGCAGTGGAGGCTGACACAGGGCGCCCCAGTGGAGGCTGACACAGGGCGCCCCACCCCAGTGGAGGCTGACACAGGAGCACCCCAGCGGAGGCTGACACAGGGCGCCCCACCCCAGCGGAGGCTGACACAGGGCCCCCCAGCAGAGGCTGACCCAGGGCGCCCCACCCCAGCAGAGGCTGACACAGGGCGCCCCACCCCAGCAGAGGCAGTCTGGGCTGAGGTGGTGACTACCTCTTTCAGAGTCTATCTCAAAGTAGAGAGACCTGAGTCCCGGCCTCCACCAGTTCAAGGCTGCCCTGAGGTAGTTTGCAGTCCTGGACAGGGAGAGAGTGGCCTGGGCTGGCGCCTGGGCTGTTACTGGACCGGGAGAAGGGCAGGTTTGTGGGGTGAGGTTGGGTCCGGTGCACATCGCCCTCAACGTCCTCGTCTTGGCAGTGTTGGGGACAGGGGGAGGGGACACCGTGGTGACCATAACCCCGGGGCAGCAGCCAGGTAGCCCAGACCCTCCTGCCCACATGCTCTGAGGACATCTGCCAAGTGATCACACACCAAGGGGGCAGAGCCATCGCCTGAACTTTGGACGAGGGGAGGTGGTGGCGATCGATCTGGGCTCTGCGGTGGCCGCTGGTGGGAGGGGGGCGTGGCTTCGAGCTTTATGGCTCGCTGCTGGTCAGGGGATGTGGTCAGGGGCGGGGCTCCGGGCTCCGGCACGGCACGCTGCTGGCCGGGGGGCGTGGCAGGGCCATCCCTCCCCTGGGTGCTGAGGACACTGGTCCCACCCACAGCCCTAGGACTGAAGGAAATGGGGAAACTGAGGCATCAAGGTACGGGGTGGGTCTCATCACATCCCAGCTGCAGCTGTGTTGTCCAGACTCAGTTTCCCCACCTGAGGAGGGATTGTGACCCTGCAGTGTCCGCTTCCTAGTAGCTCTGAAACTTCCTGACTATGGCACTCTCCCCATGAGGAAAACAGAGCTGCACATGGGGACTATGCTCGGGGGGAGGGGCTGCCCCAGGCCCAGGGCCCTGGCCAGCCCACGCACCCAAGTGATGGCCCTGGTGGGACCCTAGTACTGCTCCTCGGTCTGTCACCGCTGGCTGGGATGGAGCTTGTAAAATTTTTGCTTAGGCTGGCTTTGAACCAAGATCCTTCCAGTCTCCACCTCCTGAGCAGCTGGGATCACAGGCCTGAGGCACCACACTACATCCATGCACTACATCCACACATTCACTGCCAGTTAAGAGTATCCACCTCCCTGGGTGCTGGTGGAATCCTAGCTACTCAGGAGCTTGAGATCTAAGGACCACAGTTCATAACCAGCCCGGGCAGGGAAATCTGTGAGTCTTTCATCTCCAATTAACCACCAAAAAGCTGGGAGTGGAGCTGTGGCTCAAGTGGTAGAGCACTAGCCTTGAGCGATAAAGCTAAGGGACAGTCGGGGCTAGGAAGGTGGCTCAGCGGTAGAGTGCATGCCTTGCAAGCATGAGGCCCTGGGTTCTATTCCTCACCACCACATAAACAGAAAAAGCCGGAAGTGGCGCTGTGGCTCAAGTGGTAGAGCACTAGCCTTGAGCTGAAGAGCTGAGGGACAGCGCCCAGGCCCAGAGTTCAGGCCTCATGGCCGGCAAAAAAAAAGAAAAAAAAGCTAAGGGACAGTGACTAAGTTCAAGCCCCAACACCACACAGAGGGACAGAGAGATAGGGACAGAGTCAAGCTTTTTGTGGCCCCTTCTCCTTCCTCAGGGGCTGAAGTGAAACCGTCTTGGACAAGTCATAAAAGGAAACCCAGAGCAAGACCTGGGTTCCAGGCTCAGCGGGCACAGGCCAGGCTCTGGATCACCACCCAGAACCTTAGGACTGAGGGAAACTGAGGCATCAAGGGATGGGTGGGTCATGTCCCAGCTGCAGCTAGACCACGTGGGCCCGGAGGGAGGCGCCAGTGAGCACTGCTCCCAGGCAGCTCCGGTATGCACACGTGGCTTTTGTTTTACTCGCAAAAGGAGCAGAATGAGACCAACAAAGAGAATAAATAAATGTCACCTTGTAACTGAAGCAGACAAGGTAAGGTCTTGTTCCAAAAAGAGACCAGACTGGTTGAGCTTTCTGGCTGCCATCCCCTGCCCTGTCCCCTGCCCCCACTCCCCTGCTCTCCCTCCCACCACCCACAGGAGACAGCAGTCCATCAAGGGTGTGATTTCACAGCCTGTAATTCAGCCAGGTTTGATTTATTTGCAATATACTACTTGGGAAAATTACATCTGAAGTGGAGAGCTTGAAAATGCTATAACGGAGACTAACACTGTTCAGGGAAGAGATGCTTTGTTCAACCTGGGAAAAATAACTACTGGGCCAGCAATGAATTCCCTTGACTTCGCCCCTCTCCAGCCCCCTACCTTCCACCCCTGCCTCCAGGTGTGTCCCAAGGCTGTGTCCCACATCAGTTACCAAGATCTGGGCCAGATCTGGTACAGCAGTGTTCTTCAAGTTTGGGGGATTGGTGGTGGTGGTGTGTGTGCGTGCCAGTACTGGGGGTTGAACTCTGAGCCTGTGTTCCCACTCAGTTTTTTCTCTCTCACAGCTAGCACTCTACCACTTGAGCCATGTCTTTTTTTTTAATGTAAATCTTTTATTCATATATTGAAAGTATTTTTTCAATTTTCCCTTAGCATTTGTCAATATGCTTTTGTTTTAAGTTTTGTTATTATACAGGGTATGTTCAGAGGGCCATGCCTTCTTTTTGCTGGCTAATTGGAAATAAGAGTCTCTTGGCCTTTTCCTGCCCAGGCTGGCTTCAAACTGTGATCTTCAGCCCTCAGCCACCACAGAGAGGCTCTGCCTGCACCGCCCTTGGCCATGAGAGGGCGGGACAGCTCAAGACCTGGCAGCAGCCGGTGGTGCTGCTCTGGTGGGCTGAAGCCAGGAAGTTGAGCCCATACTCAGCAGTGTCACACAGGCCCTGGCGGCCTTGGCTGGGGACGGACGGGTGCTGAGGAACAGAGCCTGGGATCCTGGCAGCAGGGGCGGGGGGGGGGAGGCAAATTCCTGATGATTTGGGTTTTCTCTATCTTACATCACTCAGTCCATGAGTGTGGAATTTTTATCTCCAATGCTACGAGGTGAGGGATGGCATTTGAATTGGAGAAGAGCAGCACCTGCCCCTGAGGTCCCGCACGGAGAATCTACAGCAGGGCGCCAGCCAGGAGAGGCCCAGCGGGCAAGCTGGGCCCCCAACAGGGCGGACGCTGCTGGACCCGGACGAAGAAGCGGGCATTCCCAGGGCCCAGGCAGAACAACCCACTCACTTTGAAGAAAGAGTTTAGGTTTATTTGCAGTAAAAACCGTGGTCTGGAAAAGAACCGACTGGCGAATGTACAGTTAATGTTCCACTTCTGGGGTGTCCACTGGTTATGGGGACCCACCTCCCTGACGCGCGTGCATGGGCTCCGGCATGCTCCCAGGCGCTCCGGGCCTTGCTCCTCGGCCCCTCCTGTGGGCCGCAGCACCGTGTGACCCGGCCTGACTGCTGCCACCCTGCTCAGCACAGTGCAAAACCCAAACCAAAGCAAACACAACCTTCCAAACAAAACAAAACACAAAAACAAACAAACAAACAGGGTTCTACATTATTTTTCCCCAGTGTCTTTCGTTAATCACAACTCATTTTGAGGCCAACTAAAATATACATCATTTGCTTGCTATTATAAAATCTCTTCCTTATTCACAGATAACGGGAGATTTGGATGAATTAATTACAGACTTTCTTCCCCTTAGGAAACAAACAGGTCAAACAAAAAACACAGCAAAACAAACCTAAACCAGGGTCAAGCACGAGGCTGGCACAGGACATTGGCATCAACACAGAGAGCCAGGGGTCCCCCCCACCCTGGGTCCAGGCTGGGCAGGCTGAGCAAAGGGCCTGTGCAAAGTGCTGGGTGCACCCAACTCACGATGGCTGAGTGCCTCCTCCTCCAGGCCAACCCTCCACCCCACGGGGGCTCCCTGTTTATCCTTACTTGGGGGCCTTTGCAGGACCCTGCCCAGCTCCTAGCTCCTCTACCCTTCCCACTCCCTCCCCACACCTCCGCAGGCGGAAGCTGGAGACCACAAGGCCGACCTCGGCCAGCACAGCGCACCCTTCAGCACGGCTGCCCCTCCCCAGCCCAGGGCTGGACAGCTGGCTGTAGGGAGAAGGGGACCCTGTCTCAGGGAGACAGGGTGGCTAGGGTCTATGCCACGTCAGCGTACAGAAAATAGGGCCTGGCCAAGCCAGTCTGAGGTCAAAGGCCAGGAGCCATGAGCAGGGCGAGGGGACGGGGCGGAGGCACCCCAAGAGCACTTATTTCAGGTTGGCCACAGGCTCAGCTTGCGCACTGCAGGAGTCCCTGGGAGACTGAAATCTCTCGTGCAAATGCCAGAAATCCCCACCTCCCGGGGGACCCCTGAAGAGGGAGGCGGGCAAGCAGAGGGGTGCTCTGCGAGCTCAGGCTCTCCGGAGGACATGTCCCTGCAGCAGGACAGACGTTCAGGGGTTAGGAGGGGCCCCGTGAACGAGGAGCAGGTACCATGGATCAGGGAGGAGGGCCGGGCCGGGAGAGGGGCCTGCGCAAAGGGCCACCAGGGGGTGAGGGAAAGCCCTGCCTGGGACGCAGCGAGACCTGGACCCTCCACACCTCCACACCCCAGCGCAGCCCCAGTGAGCCAGAACTACAGCAAGAGGCCTAACTCTGGCCCCATCTGCCCCCCAAGGCCCAGATCCCTCAAAAGCAGCAGAGAAGACAGGCGGCTGAGTCCAGTGTCTGAGCCCACTGGGTGGGGCAGCCCCTCCGCTGCCCCCAGCCCTCCGAGGAACACCAGCTGTTGAGCCCTAGGCTCCTGAGCACCATCTCAGCCTGAGGGTCATGCCGTGGCTGTCGCCCACGGGTGGCTGGTGCTTCTGCTGAAGCCCCTGTCCTTGAGGCTGGGGCGGGGGCCAACACAGCTTTCCTCTATGTACAAGGAGGGTCCCCAGGGACAGGCCACCAAGGCCAGGTGATGGGAAAGCACCCTCCCTGTCCCTGCAGGCTGGTGACAACCAGAAGGCAGGTGGGCATTTCCTCTGGGAGCCACAGAAGAGCCAGGGAGGAGCTTCAGAGCTGGGGAGACTCTCCCAAGAAGATCCACGAGTCCTGTCCTCGCTCCTGCCGTCACTGGACGCCCTCCTCTTCCACGTACGTTGAAGGAAACCAGCCGATCTGAAAAAGATGGCAGGAAGGGTGTGAGCTCGGGGCGTGGCGTGGGCCAGGTTCTCTGGGCCTGACAGAGAGGCTGCTGAGCTGCCTCACGGAGCCAAGGGAACAAACCAGAAGCACGCCAGCCTTGTTAGGGTACTCTGCCAATCAGAAAAAAAGAAAGAATCAGGTCCTCTCGGAGGAAATCCCATCACCTAGAACCTCTTCACCGACCAGCAAGACACCCAGCGCTGACCAAGGAAACCAAGAGAAAGTACAGACAACGGAAACCCGCCCGCGGGCACCAGAACTGGAAACCAGGGTCGGCAGTAACTCTCTCAAGGTGCATGTTTGAGAAAACATTCCCTGCAAAAGGTGGAAAAGTGGAACTGGAAATCAAGTATAAGTCTTAGCAGCCACTCAGGAAGCTGAGAGCTCAGGATCACAGTCTAAAGTCAGCCAGGACAGACAGCTCCAATTAACCATCAAAGAGCAAGAACTGGAAGTATGGCTCAAGTGATAAAGCAGAATAAAAAAGCCCAGCAAGAATGCAAGGCTCGGGCTGGGAAGGTGGCTCAGTGGTAGAGTGCTTGCCTTGCTTGCATGTATGAGGCCATGGGTTCGATTCTTCAGCACCACATAAACAGAAAAAGCCCAAAGTGGCGTTGTAGCTCAAGTGGTAGAGTGCTAGCTTTGAGATGAAGAGCTAAGGCACAGCACCCAGGCCCAGAGTTCAGGCCCCACGACTGGCAAAAAAAAGAATGCAAGGCTAATATTCAGGTGCCAGCAAATGCACACAGAGTCAGGGAAGAGGGGAATGAGGTTAATGCAACTTCAGGACTAGGGATTCAGACTCAAGACACCTGGATCCAGGATCAGGGAAAACGAGCAAGGGGAACATTATCATGATGATGATGGAATCTGAAAATGGACTGTAGATGAGATAATTACATGAAGGGGAACAGACCTGACCTTAGGAAACACTTGGGGGAAACATGACTCTCGGGCAATTTGCTCTCAAGTGGCAACAATGTATGAACTCAGACTGCTGCAGGAAAGCTGCCAGGGGACTGAACACAATGTGCTGTCTCGGATGTAGCAGAGCCTCTCTAAGCAGCCAAAGTGCACGCCCTAACCTCTAAGGCAAACAGTTACATCACAGAGAAAGCGTCACTAACCAAGCAATAGGAAGGCAGGGGAGCAGATGGAGACACGCTAGCGAACCCCGAAGTAGTAAAGAAGGGAGAGCTAGATAAGTAACCAGCTAGGCGGTAGCTCTCCACCCATACACCCCAGTGACTACAATAAATGTAAATGGCCTACATAGGCTCACTAAAATGCGAAGACTCAGATCTACAAAGTGCCAGCTGCTTGCTTAGGGCTGAATGGCCCTTTGAAGTCCTGTACAATGCCCTGTCGGCAGCTTCAGCCCAAGGAAGGTGGGGCACATATCTCCAGGGGGCACATGGTGCTCTCATGCCCTGCTGGACACAAGATCTGGGTCCAGCCAAGGGCCCAGATGGACACTAGGTTAGAGGAACCAAAGGGCTTTGCAGGATCTGAGAGCAGCCAGGCAAGGAGTCACCGGGTCAACCTGACACAGTGAAGGGGTGGGCGGGGTATGGACAGGACATCAATGGGCCCTCAAGGATGAGGAGCCTGGTTAGGACCCCAGCTCCCATCCTCAGCCCTGCAGCTCCCTTTCCCGCAGACAGGCTGCACTGTGCACTAGCCACAAAGATATGGGGTTTGGGAGGGGCCTGGGTCCAGATCTGAGCCATGTGACTCATTCCAACATGACCTGGGGCTTGTGGTAAATGTCTGGGGCCTGTTTCCCCGCAGGGCTGTCCCCCGGGGGGGCAGGGTCCATGGTGACAGGGTGCCTGAAAGGCTGGGTACTCTGAGCCTGGCGGGGACAGAGATGGGCCTCCACCTGGTGTGTGTGCGGCCTGCACTCACCCGTCCATTCGTCTCGCCTTTCCACCAGCCCTGGTCCCCGCCGATGCGGCTATAGATCTTCACCACATCCCCTTCCCGCAGCGAGAGCTCCCTCATGTCCCGTGCTGCGAAGTTGTACCTGGCCACGGCGGTGCCGATGACCCGGGGCGTGAACACTGGGGAGAGACGGGAGGGGCTGAGCAGGTGCCCTTGGTGCGGGTCGTGGACACACAGGGGGAGGACACGGAGGGCCCCCACGCCTCCGCGGGTTTGGCCTGCGTCTCTGCACTTGATGAGGGCCGGGGTTGTTACCCCTTACCCTGGGCGGCCGCACAGCAATGGACACTGTCCTGCGTGGCAGGGCAGAGCCTACGCCTTGTCCACCGCAGCCTACCGTCTGGCTATCCAAGGGCCCACTGAACCAGCTCAGCCCAGAGCCTGAACGACAGGTGGCAATGACAGTGACACACAACAGCCCACAGGAAAGTGGAGACGAGCTTGGGCACTGGTGGTGGACGGCCATGTGGTTACCGGGAGCACAGCCTCCATCCCCACACCTAGGTCTCATGACAGACAGGCCGCCACGCAGGCCTGAGCCACCCACCCTCCAGCCACTCCCACAACCAGAGGCAGAGCTCTTCACCAGAGGCAGAGCTCTTCACCAGGGGCAGAGCTCTTCACCAGGGGCAGAGCTCTTCACCAGGGGCAGAGCTCTTCACCAGGGGCAGAGCTCTTCACCAGGGGCAGAGCTCTTCACCAGGGGCAGAGCTCTTCACCAGGGGCAGAGCTCTTCACCAGAGGCAGAGCTCTTCACCAGAGGCAGAGCTCTTCACCAGGGGCGAAGCTCTGGACGGCCAGGCCAGGATGGGATGGGATGGGATGGGGGACGGATGGGGGCGGGGTGGCCGTCAGGGCCTGGCCTGACGCATCCTCAGCTGTGGCAGCAGTCCCCCTCCCCCACTCCCCACCCTCCTTGCTTCCCCCCCCCCCCCCCCCCCGGCCCAGCAAGGACTGTCAGGCCAGGCCAGGGCCCGAGCAGCAGCGGTACCTGACCAGAAAGGAGCGGAGGGGCCCTGGGGGGCAAAGCTGAGGCCCTGAGGACTGAGAAAAGAAAAGTTGTAGGAAGCACAGGAAGCTGTAAAGAGGCGAGAGAGCGCGTCAGGCGGCGGCAGGACCCAGGCGGAGCCCTCATGGGATGGCTCAGAGCCGAGGGAGGGACTGTGGGCACCAAGCCCTACCTGGGAGCAAGGAAGGATGCCAAGGAGCGCGCGTGGGGGCTGAACCCGGGGTGGTACGGCACCGCTCGGCACCATGTCTGACGGTCAGTGGGGACAACCTCTCCCCTCCCACAGCCCTAGGCCTGCGCCCTGCCTTGGCCAGCTCTGCCTAGAAGCCAGCAGGCCCCTTGGCCCCGCAGGGCCCCGTGGACTCCAGGAGAGCCTGGGCTGGGAGGACCTGCCCCACCTGCTCCGGGCCATCCTCGGGGAGAAGCTTCCCCCTAGAGGCAGCCTAGGGACCAGCCCCTGCCTCAGGGCAGAGGTACCAGGGCCTGAGGGCAGGCAGGATCTGCCTTTGGCTACTCCCAGGGTCAGGGTGCGCTTCCTGTCTGCCTCCTGGGCAAGGTCCTCCAGGCAGAGGAACCCCCCCCCCCCAAATCAGGGAACTGGCATGGGAAGGGGCGGTGGGGCAGGGACAGGGAGAGGGAAGGAGGGCCTAAACCACACTCCCTGCCAGGGTCACCAGGGCAGGGGCTGGTGAGGATCTGGGTCCTGGAATGGGGCAGCAGTAGGCACTTCTGGGCACAGGTTACCTGGTGACCGGCTGGAGACCCTGGAGGCGGCCCGCTCCCGGGACTTGTAGGGGAACTTGAGCGTGGTGTCCAGCTGTTTGAAGCTCTCCTTGAGCGAGTGGCACTGGTAGTACTCCACCAGCTCCTGCAGGGGGCGCACACTCGCTGACACCAGCCTCTCACCCCACCCTCCCACAGCCTCGGGTTCCAGGGTGGATGACTGACTCGGTCCCCACGGGAAGATGCCGGGGTTGGTGGACACGCTGGCTGCTGGCTGCCATGTCCTTTGTCATGTGTCCAGCAGGGGGACACGCCTTCAAAGAGAAGGAAAATGACTCATGGCCAGCCAGGGAGAGGCTCAGCTACACTGAAGGTGGGTCACCCTGAGGGGCAACCAAAGACGGGGCGCAAAGCATTGGCTTTAAAAGGCCTGCGGGGAGAGAGGCAACCCTGGGGGCTTGCCCACAGGTGCACAGGCAGTGCAGGGATGAGCCTGTGGGTACTCTGTTTGCTTAGAGCTCACCACATTAATTACAGGCAAGGTTCTCAGTATGCTTGTGATCAGGAAAAGAAATAGCCAGGCACAGTGGCTCACACCTGCAGTCCTGGCTACTCTGGAGGCTGAGGCCAGCCAAGGCAAAATTTCACAAGACCTTCATCTCAATGAAAAGCTGGGTACAGTAGCATGTGCCTATCATACCAACTAAGTGAAAAACATAAATGGGAAGAACAGGACCCAGGCTGATCCAGGCAAAAAAGCCCAAAGTTATTAGAAAAATAATGAAAGCAAAAAGGACTAGCGGGATGAGTTCACTGGCCAGTCATGGCTCTAAGTTCAAACCCAGCATTCCCCACACATACACTATAAGCATACATTACAAGCAGAAAGAAAAGAAAGAAAGAGAGAGAAAGAGAGAGGTGGGGGAAGGAAGGAAGGAAGGAAAGAAAGAAGGAAGGAAGGAAGGAAGGGGGACTGGGAAGGTAGCTCAGTGGTAGAGTGCTTGTTTTGCATGCATGAGGCCATGGGTTCGATTCCTCAGTACCACAAAAGCAGAAAAAGCCAGAAGTAGCACCATGGCTCAAGTGGTAAAGTGCTAATAACCTTGAGCTGAAGAGCTGAGGAATAGTGCCCAGGATCAGAGTTGAAGCCCCACGACTGACAAAACACACACACACACACACACACACACACACACACACACACACACACACAGAAGAAAAAAAAAAAGGAAGATAGAAAAGAAAAAGAAACAAAGAAGGAAGGAAGGAAGGAAGGAGGCAGGCACTGGTGCTTTCACACCTGTAATCCTAGCTACTTAGGAGGCTGAGATTTGAGGATCACAATTTGAAGCCAGCCAGAGCAGACAAAGCCAAGAGACTCATTTCCAATTAGTCAGCAAAAAGCCAGAATGGGGGTGTAAGCTCAAGTGGTAGAGTACCAGTCCAGAGTGGGAAAGCCAAGCTAGAGCATGAGGCACTGAGTTCAACACCCAGATTTCACACACACACACACACACACACACACACACACACACACAAAATATACATATATAGAACAGCAGGTGTCATCCTCAAGTTACTTGGAGGAGGATTTTGCCCTCTACTCATCCCGCCTGGGCCAGAGGTAGGGGCCGCGGGGGGCTCAGAGGTACCCGTCTGTCACAAAGCCTTACTAGACCTTGGTTTCTGCGCTCCCAGCAAGGGCCGTGTGAGAAGCCAAGTCAAGGTGGTGGCCAGAGTGGGCCCGCCCCTCTGCTGTCCAGCGGGGTCAAGCGCCAGGGCAGGCTTGGGGGAGGGGTCAGGAGCCCCAACTCAGGCCACGACCTGTCCCCAGGCCCTCACAGGCCCGTTTCCCTGGGTTTTGCCCACACTAGGGCCACGCTTCCCGCCTAGAAGTGGAGGCTGGGACGGGGCCGCTGGGCCCGCTCTGCAGGTGGGGTGGGGGAGCAGGGGAGCTGCGGGCGCAGGTGCGGCCGTACCAGGAGGCTCTCGAACTTCTTGGCCTCGGTGATGTGGATCCAGTTGTCCTTCTCCACCACCTTGATGTGCTTCACCTCCTCGTTGAACCTGCACAGACGCACGGCCCCGCGTGCGAGCCGCGCGAGCCCACGCTCATTGCAGGTGTGCAGCAGAGACTGACCCCCACCGCACACGGCTCCTGCAGCTGCTGGGGCTGCAGCCCCACCCCGGCCCACCTCGCTGACGCCCCAACGCCCGCTCCAGGGCACCATGGATGCTCGGCCCTGCCACTATACCAGCCCCCAAACTTTTGTGGGGCCTTGTGCAAAGGTGATGAGCTCTGGCAGTGCTTTAAAAGGGGGGCCCTCCGTTCTGGCTCCCCACCCCCCAGAGTCCTGCCTCCAGCTCCCCACTTTGGAAGTCCCTCGGCAGCTTCCTTGTGTGATGGGACTCTGGCTGGATGCAGGCCTGGGCTCTGTCCGCCTGTCTCCCACAGGTAGGACGCGTGTGGTGTGGGCTGCACCCGGTCCGACAAGCCAGGCTGCCCAGACAAGCCAGGTCACGCCTGGGGCCCATGGAGAAGCGGTGTGGGACACCTGGCTGGGCACAGACCACCGCACTGCGCTCGAGGCTCTCAGCCTCACTGACACCGCGGCAAGCCAGATGCCACTGGTTGCTGGCCTGGCTGGTCAGCGCCCAAGACACCCATCCACAGGAGTCCTGTGCAGAGAGGACCGACCGCCCCGGCCTGTTTCCGTGAGAACCTGGAGGAGTTTCCAGGAGGCCTGGCATCCAGGGCTAGACTTGCACCATACAAAGCAGCTGCTGAGGGTCCCCCAGGGTGGGAGGGGTGGAGGCAGGGGTGTCACAGTCTAGGAAGGAGGATGCATTCACGGAGGGCCGTGAAGCAGGGCCACAGGCCAGCCATGTAGACTGCAAATGTGTAGTCTATCCAGTATATGTTGTGTTTACAGTATACATACCACATACACTATATTATATACATATATTACGTAGTGTATGTAGTACATGTAGATTTATATGGTATACATAAATATACGCTACTTATGATGTATAGCATATACGCTATATATGCTACATAGTATATATAATATGTGATATATATAATATGTGTATACTGAGTATATATATACACACGCACACACATATATATACATATGCATACTCTTATATACTGGAAGAGGTCCCCCAGGTCCCTTCCTGGCATGAAGCGGTGTGATGGCCCCACAGAAGGGCCAGGCCCTGGCAGCGGCTCCCACAGCCTCCACCCACCACCTGCCCCTGAATAGCAGCAGTAAGCTATGCCCCAATGGAGAGCACGGAGTGCGCACTGCACACTGGGCTCCGGGGAGGCCCGCAGGCCCCTGCAGCCCTGAGGCCGGCATGAGGCTTGGAGTGCTGGTTCCCGCACCAGACAACAGCACCCGACACACCCAGGATGGGGTGGGGGGGGAGGTCCCCAGAGCTGTCACTCACTTGATACTTATGGCGAAGCGCTCGGCCTCTGCGGGCCGTTCCCGGATGAGGTAGGTCCCGCTGGCGTGGGACTTGAGCAGATTGTCTGTCTGCTGTCTTTCCATGTTGCCTGCAAACCTAGGGCAGGGGAACCAGAGCTGTGGGCACAGCGCTGACGGGGTGGGGCCCATGCCCAGGGCGCCCACCACGGCCTCACGCGCTCATCTGAGCAAGAGATCACCATCCAGATGAGCAGATGAGAAAGCACTGTGCGGGGCACGGCCGAGGCAAGGGCCGGCACCGGGAGCTCAGCAGCACATAGTAGGCTCCCGCACACAGCAGGGCTCATGGGAAGGCCAGAGAAGAGGAGCTGAGGAGCGGCCAGGGAGAGCAGCGTGGAACTAGAGTGCATCTATTTCTGAAACTTTGCTCATTAGTTCAAAATCAGCCTGTGCAAACAAATCCCAGAGACTCTTCTTGTTTTTTGTGTTTTGTTTTGTTTTTGCCAGTCCTGGGCTTGAAGTCAGGGCCTGGGTGCTGTCCCTGAACTTCTTTTTTGCTCAAGGCTAGCATTCTACCACTTGAGCCACAGCATCACTTCTAGCTTCTTCTGTGCCTGTGGTACTGAGGAATCAAACCTATGGCTTCAGGCATGCTTGGCAAGCACCTTACCACAAAGTCACCTTCCCAGCCCTCCCAGAGACTCATCTCCAATGAATCAGCCAAAAGCAGTAGTGGAGGTACGGCTCAAGTGATAAAGTGCTAGCAGTTAGTGAAAAAAAAAGCATGAGGCCCCGAGTTCAAGCTTCAGTACCGGTATAGGCACAGACAGGCAGGCAGGCAGGCAGGCAGGCAGGCAGGCAGGCAGGCAGGCAGGCAGGCAGGCAGGCGCACACGCGCACACACTCACTCACACACACACACACACACACACACACACACACACACACACACGGAAGCTCAATTAAGATTACATTAAAACAACTTCAACCCCAGATGCTAGCTCATGGATCCGTTTCTGAGACAAGGAAGCAGCTCAGGCAGTCTGGGGCCGAGACTCTCACCCCAAGCCTCTGGTGGGCAAGTAGGGCCAAAAGCTCACCACAGAGGGGCAGCAAACGCCCACCTCAATGACCTCGATCCACTCACCAGGGGTAGGCAGCGTAGTCGATCTCCCGGGACGGTGGCCGGCTCATGGGCGGCTGCGGGCAGAACACATGTGTGCTAATGTCCCAGGGGGTGGGGAGGGTGGGTATTCTGTCATGGACTCAACCCTGAGCCTGGCAGTGTCTGCACTGGACTTAGTCCCAGCACCCCTGGACTGGGAGATCCCCATCTGAGGAGCTGCTCAGGGAGCCTGGCGGAAGCAATGACTTCCTTGATGGCGGGAATGAATGAATGAATGAATGAAGTCGCCACTGGTGAGCCCCTCTTCATCCCTGGCCGGGAAGGACGAGGCGGCAGGAAGCCCTGGCAGTGGGCGTGAGGGTGCTCGTAGTGGCTGAGGAGGGTGCCAGGTCCAGGGCTCGGTGCCCCTCTGGCCAGGCCGCCACGGGGCCTCACTGGGCCCCCGCCTCAGGCATCCACTGGGCAGAACCTCGGAGGCCAGGCGTACGAGTCTCAGGCCACTCACTGAGCCAGTGACCCCTGTCCACCCGGTCCCCAGTCCCTGATCCACCCTGGAATCTCCCTCCAGCAACAGATGGGCCGGGCAGGGCCCGGGGTAGGGCCCCGCACCCCCAGGGAAGGGGTGGCCCTTGGCAGTCCCCTGTCACTGCTTGCTGCCTTGGTGACAGAGGACACATCACACTCTCAGGTGACAGAACACGTGGCCTTTTCGCCAAGTGCTGTCAATCCCACTGGGAGCCTCCTCCTGCCTAGGCCCCCAGGGCAGGGCGGCCTGCAGCCAGCCGCCAGCGGCCACACGTGCACAGCAGGGGCACCGTGGGCAGTTCACTGCAGCCATGGGGCGAGGGGTCCCGACCGCAGCCAGTGATCCCGGGGAGAGGACAGCTTACCCCGTGGACCCCTCCCTCCCACCCCCCCCTGCAGTGCAGACGCATGGGAGCCACTCACCCTCCCATCCACCGGACATGGCTTCACCGATGTGCTAGGAAAGTACCCTGACTTCCGGGTCTGCAGCAGCCGGCCCTGGAGGAAGGGGAGATTCGGAGGGGTCATCTGGGGTCATGCCAGGGGCACATGGCCACCTGGATCCTGGGCTGAGTGCCCCTTCTCCTGCTACAGTCTAAACTGGCCTTGTACCCATCGGGAGCAGGGAGCTCCACCCTGGGTCTCTGCAACACCTGTCAGGGACAGGGGCTCGAGACCCCCTTCGCCCCTCTGGATGTCCCATCACGCGGCTGTTCAATCCGGTTTAATGAAATCATGACTGGGCTGGGGACAGTGGCTCAGGCCTGTCATCCCAGCTACTCAGGAAGCTAGCCTGGGCAAAATAAATTAAAACAAGTAACCTGGGGCTCCACTTTCTGGATGTAAGCTGTACATCCCTGGCTCGGAACTGGACAGGTCACCAGGACGGCTCTGGGCATAGTGACCCCCGGGGCTGGGCAGTGCCGGGACAGCCCACCACAACACGAAGCTGGGTGGCAGGGGAGGCTGGGCACAAGAGCCCAAGCACGGGACCACACCACAGACCCAAGGGGCCAAGACCTGGACGCTCAGCCCCCTCTCACCCACGGTCCACCTCCCGCTCCCGCCCGGCACCCACCTCCCACCACTGTGACTCCGGGTCGCCCCGCTGCAGCTCGATGACGTCCCCCGTCTGGAAGGTCAGCACGGGCTTCCCAGGCGGGGCGGGGTTGCCGTGATAATTCTGCACCGCCACCATCTTGGGACCTACAGACACAGGGGGTGGGGGTGGGGGTTGTTGGCCAGCTTGCCCTGGCCCACAGGCCTTCCAGTCCCAGGGAACTCTTTGGGGAGACAATTCCCCCAGACACGCGGGCACCGGAGCCTGTGGGGCTCCTCCCATCCCCCCCATCCCGTGACAAATGTTTTAAGTTAGAACACCATAAGCACTAGTGGCCAGTGGCCACTTTGGGGGGACATTATCTGGTCTCTTCCTGTGCCATCAGCTCTGTGAACTGCGGAATGGAATGGGGGGCCAGGGTCCTTCAGGAGACCGATATGACAGGGTCTTACTAAAGGCCACAACTGGTGATGTCTAGGACTGAAAGGGGGTGCTGAGCCCCCCAAGAATGTAGGGCTCATCTCAGGCTGGACTTGAGGTCTAGAAGCAGTATTTGGGGGGACTGTGGTTTTCTACAGATTTCATTCAGTATAAATAAATGGTGCTGAAATCTGCAGCCAATCGGAGGCCTCAGCCTGAGAACCTATGGATCAGACTAAAGCAGAGGCCAAAGCAGAGGCCTTGGTAAAACATTCCCGAGTGCCCAGTAGCTCCAGCCCCACCCTGGGTCGGGAGGACCAACACTGTCCACAGGCTGGTCCCGGCCTCAGGGCACCTGGGTGCCTGACTAGCAGGCACCAGGAGGCAGCCGTGGAGGAGGGAGGGACGGGGGGGGGGGGGGGCAGGGGGGAGGGGCCTAAGGCTGCAGGGAGAATGGCTGGGCACAGGGGATGTCACCGCGCAGGGCTCACTCCTAGAGCAGCCGCTCACATGGACAGTGCAGAGGGACAAGTCCAGCACACTCACCCGGTCCCGCTCCGGAAGCTTCCTGTGAGGATAGAGGCAGAGGTAAGGGCAGGCTCTCCTCAACCTTTGACCCTGTCCACTTTAGTGCCCCACCCCCTAGAAGAATCAGGGCAGGGTGCAGTGGGGCGGGGTTCAGGCACTTGTGACAAGAGTTCCCTCCGTGGGCCTTTCTCCAGACTCAGTGTAAACCCTCCCCCCACCCACCCTGGCCTGGCTCCCCTCACCCCTTACCACGGAGTCCCGCCTCCTCCAGGAAGCCCCACACGGCCACCCCAGCCTCCACACCCCGTGGAGCTGTGCACCATGCTGTGGCTCCACCCCTTACAGGACCTGGCATAAGCCAATCAATGCCACCCAGTGGGGCAGGGACCCGTTGATGTGGCCAGTGTGACTCGGAGACCAGTCCACACTGGGCAGCGAGCAGCCGACCTCCTCCCCAGGCCACCCATACGGAGCTCTGTGCTCATAAGCAGGTGTGGGGTAGGTGTCCTGTGCTGGCCACATGCCCCAGCTATCCAGGGTCCCCAGGGGCCATGCATGGAGCCCTCCTCCCACAGTGGAGGGACTCACCATGTCTGCAGAGGAACCTGCAAAGGAAGCAATGAGAGGTCAGTGGGCAGCAGCACGGCAGCCTCGCGGACCTGTGAGGCATGGCTGCCAACACTTTCAATGTGAATTGTGGGTACAGGGGCTGGTGAAAGTCTCTCTGTTGTGCTAACAAGAAAATCTTAGCACGTGCGTGCGCATGCGTGTGTGCGTGTGTGCGTGTGTGTGTGTGTGCGCGCGCGTGCGTGTACACTGGGGCTTAAATTCAGGGCCTCCCACTCTTGCTTAGTTTCTTCACTCAAGGCTGGTGCTCCACCACTTGGGCCACAGCTCTACTTCTGGTTTTTTGCTGGTTAACTGGAGATAAGAGTTTATTCATAGACTTTTCTGCCCAAGCTGGCTTCAAAACACAATCCTCAGATCTCAGCCTCCTGAGTACCTAGGCTTATAGGCACAAAGCTCCCCCAGTGCCCAGCTTCTGTTGGCATTTGTGTTTAGGGAAACCACTAGGGAGCCCAGGCCGGTTATCAGACCCAACATAGCACAGGCTTTTCTGCCAGGCCAACCAGGGTGGCTGAGTGGTGTTGGGGCTCACAGGAATTTCTGCAATTGATTAACAATGTCTGCTGTGGGCAAGTCATGGGAGGAGTGAGTGCTTCGTGTTGTGTGTTGAGATGTCTGGGGCATGAGTGGCTGGTCAGATGCAAGGCAAGGTCCATCCTACACTGCCCCAGTCGAGATGCCACTCACCACTGGTCGATACAGGGACCAGGACAGCTACTTCCTGTGGCTGGAGCGTGGAGGGGCTTAAAACTGCCGAGACTCACCACTGAAGACTGCGCTGGGCACAGACTCTGGACTTACAGACGCCAACCCAGGGCTGGGCCCCGAGGGACACTGGTGAGAGTGCCACGGTGCCAGGGAGCGCCCCACACAGGGCTTTCGGGACGTTCGGACCCCCGTGAGCAGCACAGTGCACCTGCCTTCGCACAGTGCAGAGGTGGACACTGACCGTGGCCAGAGGCGCCCTGCCCACAGCCGGATCCCAGGGACCAAGACAGCAGCCCGGACCAGAAAGAAAGCAGTTTGGATGCATTCCAGGGGACCCAGTGTCCCCGAAGCAGAGCACCAACTCCCTCCACCCCCGGAGGAGACACGGGTTCCTAAAATATTGCCTGGGGCACCCAGGGTGGGGGACTGGATGACTTGAGAAGAGGATTACCAGGCGGTTCAGAACGCCTCCCCCTCCCCATGCCAAGAAGAGACTGCCTCTCCTTCCTACGTCTCTCATCGTCTACATTTTCCATGGGAAATGACTAATGATCAGGAGAAAACTAAATAAGCCAGAAAGATTGTTTCCCAAAATAAAAAAGAACTTAAAAAATTCAAAGCATTTGCCTAGGTTATTTCTAGCTCAGTTCATGGTTGTGTTTGTTTTCTTCATTTCTTCTGTTGTGGGTTTTTTTTTCCCCTTCTTGGTTTAAAAAAAAAAAAAATACATTAATTTTAGAGCAAAACACACAAAAAAGTAGGCATGCAATCCAATTGCCTGTATGAGGGTTCAGCCACAACAGGACGGTGTTAACAAGCAAAGTAGAAAAGCCGGGGCCGGGCTGGAGAGCCACGGGAGGCTTCTAGCCGAGAAGGGACCCCACCAGGGGGTTCTGGCTGCCAGACAGACACAGTGCAGTGAGGACCAGGGGTCTGGGTGACCTGGTGACCTTGCATTGGATGGGTCAGTGGCCAGCACTGGGCCAGAATTGGCAGTAATTGATCACTAATAATTAACAATCAATACATCATTGATCTAGTCTCAGCTCAAACTATGTGTGGGTGGTGGCATGCTCAGGGTAACAAACCAGCCCAGCTGCTTCCTCACTTCCAGACAGGAGTCCAGTGCTTCTGTGCATGAGCACTGGATCAGTGGGACTGCAGGTTGGTGATGCAGGTGGTCAGCCCTACTGGACTCATCCCATCCACCTAGCTGCATACCCAGCCCGCTGCCCAAGGCCCGGGGCCTGGCTGCTAACTGAGATTCCTGCCACCGCTCATGAGCCTAGACTTAGGGTGAGCCTGCTCTGACTCATTCCCCAGCATGAGACAGCAGCTGGTGGTGAGGACCCCCACGGCCCATGTACCCACAAGGAGCTCGGGCTGGCTCTCCCACTCTGGCCTCGGCTGCCCCTTGTCAATGCTTGGTCTGTGCCATTGGAGCCATGTTGGAGACTGAGGAGCATCTGCCCCTGTTGGTGCCGGCAAAGCTCAAACCCTGCCCAGATGCCGTCTGCCCATCTGACAACTGGGCATAAGAAGGGGCACTCCAAGGGCTGTGCCCACGTGCACGTGTCACTGCTGCTGGCCAGGCCTCTCGGGCAGGGGACGGCCATGACAGGTGCTATGGCTGGAAACACCGTGCACCTGCACAGAATGTCTGAACCCATCTTTTGTGTTTTTTTTGTGCAAGTCCTGGGGCTTGAACTCAGGGCCTGGGCACTGTCCCTGAGCTTCTGTTTTTGCTCAGGGCTAGCACTCTAACACTTGAGCCACAGAGCCACTTCCAGCCTTTTCTGTATATGTGGTACTGAGGAATAGAACCCAGGGCTTCATGCATGGGAGGCAAGCACTCTACCACTAGGCCTCATTCCCAGCCGCTTTGACCCCATTTTGGGGTATGCATTCTGGGAGCGTCCTCCTCAGATGGAGGGTCAGGCTGCGACGGTGACTCTGGAAGCCGAATTAGGGAGGACTTTGCAAGGGACCCCTTGGCCCCGGCCTCCTGGTAACTGTTTCTCACAGTCTAGGTCAACTATTTCTGCTTCTCATCTGGCCCTGCCCTGAGTCGCAGTGCCAGGGAGGAGCAGGCAGGTGCGGCCCACGGCTCAGGGCGCAGAGGTGGCCGGGGCCGGCCAGCTGGGCTCTGTCGCATACAGCTGGGTACTCACTGAACTTGCAGGGGGGCATGACCTCCAAGCACTCCTTGTGTGCCCCAACGCCACACCTGGTGCACAGGTAGCCCTGGTAGAAGGTGCCCCTGTGGGGAAAGGCAGGGGGTGAGGGGACGCGAGGCTGAGGGCAGAGCCCCTACCCTCTGGAACCTACCCTGGAGCATCTGTCCCTCTAAGCCCTGCTGAGCTTCCAGAGTCCCTCCTCCTCTAGGGGCACCTGCCAACCCAGCTTGGGCCCCTGAACCCACAGCAGCCCGGGCACCCTCTGGCTGAACCCAAGAATCTGGGGCCCCAGGAGATCAGGAACGTGGGGCAGGGGATGAGCGCAGGGCTGGGAGGCCAGGGTGGCATCATCAGGGGATTGGGGGCCGGGGCAAGCTCACCTGAGGAACATCTTACAGGCCTTGCAGTTCGTGGTCTTGTCAAAGGTGTACATCTGGAAGCTGTGATGGTTGGCATTGGCCTTGTCCGGCTTGATGTTTGACCTGGGGGGAGGGGGATGGGGAGGAGAGCAGACGCTGCCTAGCAAGCCCACAGGTCCCATGGATGGGGACCAGCCAGGGCAACTGCGTTGGGACCAGACTGTGTACCCGAGGGCCTGGATTCTAAGCCTGGCTCTCCTCTTGACACCAGAGAAGGCCGTGTGTAGAGAGCTGGAAGCTTTCACTGTACCTTTCACTGTGCCACGGAAGATATTCAAAGCCCAGAAAAATGCTAGACACAGAGGTGTGCGCCTGCCCTCCAGCTGTGGTGGGCAGAGTACATAGGAGGGTCACAGTCTGGGTCGGCATAGACAAAGAATGAGACCCTATCCCCAAAATAAATAGAGCAGATGGGTGCCAGTGGCCCAAGCCAGTAATCCTAGGAAGTCAGGAGGCTGAGATCTCAGGGTGGCTCAAAGCCAGTGTAGGAAAAGCTGTGAGATTCTAATCTCCAGTTAACCACTAAAAGGCTGGAAGTGGTGCTGTGGCTCAAGTGGTATAGCACTATCCTTGAGCCAAAAAAAAAAGCTTAGGGACAGTGCCCAGGCCCAAAGCTCAACCGCAGAACTAGCACAAAAAATACAATAAATACCCAGAGCAAAAGGGCTGG